TGGAACTCATCGTAGACATGCTTCTCTTCGACCATCTGAGCTTTGTAGGCAGTCATCTCATTGTCAAGTCTGGCTGCGACCTCGGACTTCTTGTAGGCCTCGGCGAGAGCGTCAGGGGTGGATGGGACGTCCTTCTCGCTCATACCAGGCTTGAATTCACGCTCGAATATGTCGGTACAACCAGTAAGGTAATCGGGGGTAGTCTGACGGGGCTTCTCCAAGAATCCCAGGCCTTCAAAGTAAGCACGGGCTTCCTGGGCAGGTCCAAAGTACACCTGACGTCCGCTATCAATAACCAGGACCTTGTCAAAGACCTTGTAGATGTTTTCCGAGGCTTGGTACAAAGACACAAATGTCGTCGTCTTGTAGATGTTAGTCAGAACCCTGAGTGAACGTGCGTAGTCGACGGCTGTGGAAGCATCCAGTCCTCTTGTGCTGTTGTCCCAGCTCATCAAGGAGGCACCCGTAATCATGGTCTCGGCGATGGAAACACGTTTCCTCTCTCCACCACTGACACCACGAACAAACGGATTGCCGACAATGGTGTTTCGAGTGTGCTCGATGTTGAACATCTTCAACATCATGCTGATGACCCTTTCCTTGAACTCTTTTCGTGAAAGGCCCGCAGGTCGCTTTCCAGGCACTTTGGTCTCCAGGGCAAAGTCGAGGGTCTGACCAACGGTAAGGGTGGGGTGGTGGTTTTCGTCCTCTTCGCAGTACACAGCCTCGCCTCGATACCTCTTCTCGAAAAATTCTGCGTCAAAGGGGCCGTACTGAACGTTTCCATCGATCTTTGTGTATCCGTATCGTTGGTTGCTGATAACTTTGAGGAAGGTAGTGCAACCACTGCCTGGCTTTCCAAGGACCAGGACCATTTCACCGGGCTTTACAACACCCTTGAAGTCCTTCAGGATGTCAAATTCCTTGCCCTTCTTTCCAAGCCCGAGAATGCTGGCAGCAGTCTCAAAGACATTGAAAAAAGATACAAAAGAGTCGGGGAATGTCTACGCGGAGTGTTAGTCATCACATGCATCTAATCTCAAAGCTAAGCCTGATGCTGACGGCGTACCTTGACATAGTTTCTGACTCCGCCTGTGCAGCTGTTAGCGTGGATCTTATGTATAATTTCCATCTTATGTATGATCTGGATGCAAGGGATGTGTACGTACCAATGCCGCTGACGGTGAGCCCATCCCATATCACACCAATGCGCTTAGATTTTATTCCAGATCTCTCTTCTTCGTCACGGGCACCGCGCAGTGTTGCCTCGAGATCAAAAGGCTCATCCGAGGATTCTGAACCAGCCTTCTCGACATCTGCGACTTGATCTTTGCGACTATGCTTGCTCTGAACTCGACTCATCCGGCGCGAGATGTTGCTAGTGCGTGAGAGCTCTTTGGACAATTGGGCAAAATCCGCTTCGGCACGATGAACATCGACACCATACTTGTTGTCCTTTTCGTCTGGCTTTGGGGAGTTGCGCGCGGTGGTATCGTCGACTGACGGGGTGTTTATGCTCGCATTGTCGTGATTGTTCGTATGGATAGCCTCAAACGTGGGGCCGTCGGTATGCTCATGTGGATGAGCATCACGCGCACCAGGGTTGTCCATAATGGCGGGCGGAACAGGGCGCGCCCTGGGATCAATTGAAGGGTCGTGAACGAGGGAACAGGGGGGCGAGGTCGTCGTAGCCAGAGATGTGAAAAGTCGGTTATTCCCGGGGAAATGGGTGGTGGGGTGTTGAAGAGAAAAAAAAGAGAGGAATTAGTGCCACGCAAAACACAGGGAGTAACAAGTCGATGGAGAGGATCACAACAACTAGTTAATATAATAAGTACTAATGAGCAACGGTTGCCCGATACGCCCGTCGGTGACCGGAGATAAGAGCGTTAAGTGGGTCAATAAGGACCGGAGAGGTCAAAGAGTCGAGGGCTAAGCAGCTAAGCAGATTGCACATGTGCATACCGCCATGCGTGTGGGGATGGGGGACATTGAGCCGCCCGGCGCCCCATTACACAGTTCTACTCCATGGCGCCGGCGTCCCTAACGGCAGCTTTTGCTGCTAGTGCTTGTTAATCATCGAGTTGAGCAGCCTGGTCAAGGGCATTCCTTCTCTATTCTCTCGTTAGATGGCATCCAGACAAGGCGATATGCAGCCAAGCAGGCTACGATCGCCTACTCATCTCGACGTCATGCCAGGCCTTTTCCCGGACAAAAGCAAAAGCGAACATACTAGAACGCAAAAAAAAAAAAGGGCGTCACCTGGCGATGGATCAAAACTTACATGCAGGGACAAATTAGCTGTTGAGGGAGCGCTAGACCAATGCCATGGCTCAAGCCCACTTTTTAGGGCTGATGGATGCGATGCGTCGTTTGAAGACTCGATCCCTTCGGCCAATTTGACAGTACATTTGTCAGCGCTCCTCGTGTACATGCTCCTGTTTGAGTCATGCTGGGTAGTCTGGTTTGGTTGCGAACAAGGCAGGTAAAGAATCTGTAAAGGCCATGTTGAGCGTCGGTTCTTTCGCGTGACCATATCGGGAGGTTCTGATCCAAGGACAGTACCTTGACGTCTTTGATACACTTGTCTGCGGCTATCTGTTCGAGGGAACCGCCGTATACATAACAACCACCGTCCGGATCAGCCGCGCCGGCACTCGCAATTCTCGCGTGCCGACGAGTTTCCCTCTTCCACGGACGAATACCGGCTGGCACCGTCGGCACACCCTTGCACCCGTTCCGACTCATCTCGACTCATCCCAGATCATGTCAGATCATACCCGCCGCCATTCGTACCAAGAGTGTCGTATACATATTGCGTGTGCGCCACACTTGTGCATCACCACATCGATAACCACTGTATGGTAGTAGTAGTAGTAGTAGTAGTGGTGGTGGTGGTGGTAGTAGAGGCGTGGATGAAGTTTACCAAAAGCCAAAAGTCAGTTCCGTGCCCTGTCGCTGTGTCCCACAACCCTGGCATGCAGTATGCACATCACCCTGCCCCAAACTATACGCTGCACTACACTACTACCCGCGCATCAACCCATGCCGGGCCCGAGACAACCTCCTTGTTCACCACCATATAGACTACCGTGTAAAAAGAAACACGTCACCACTTACACCAAAGCGGCAGCCCGAAGCGGTGAGACGTCGGGGGCAAGAACAGTTCTCACCTCCTTTTTTTACAAAAAAAATACCGTCAAACTCTTCCTACTTGCCGTTACACCATCAACGCCAAGCACGTGACATATGAGTACTACAACCCACTAAAAACACAGTTCACATCTAGGAATCTGGGAATCTTGCATTCTAAACATGGCTCACGGCCTTCGCGTCATGAAACAAAATGTCCGCCCCCATCTGCACTCACATGTGCATACTTGTGTACATACTTGGTACCTTATTTCTACCATAAATAGCATATGCGCGGACACATGAAAAGTTCCCAGCTTGCCATCCAAACCCCCCCACTTCCCCCCCTTCCCCCCACTCCACATCCCGAGTCATCGCCACCACCACACAAAGAAAAAAAACTGTCATGTTTCACTTTGATACTCGGTGTTGGCCACAAAAAAACCATCAGCACACCTACATAACACATCCCAGTCCCTACTACTACTAAAAACTTCTCACCGCGGGCATACGGGCAACGCGACGCGAAATCATGTGCCTGCGCGCTAGCCCCCCACACACACGCAGATGGAAACACAGCCCACGGCTACTTAGCGCAAACCCGCGGGCTGAACGGCAAGGCAGACGAGACTACCCTTAATGCGGTTCACCGTCACAAAAACCACAAACATCATCGTGCCTTTTGCTTCCCAAAAATAAACCCTACGCCAATCGGCTAGTGTCAACGTTGCTTCTGAAACATTTCCCATTGTCATTTGCTTCTATTTTTCCCTATTCCCATTACCTACGTATCTCGCTACTGACGCATAGTACGTCTAAGTATTCTGCCTTACTTTCTGACGTTCTTTCCACCCTTCGCTTTCTTCGCATACGGCAAAACGTCGGGAGTACAACAAACACATAATCTACTACTGCTAAATATCTATTTTTTGCGCGCTCGCGCGGTGAAAGTGGGGGGGAGGGGAAAGGGAGCGATGAATGCGAATGACCATCTCACACGCACTTAAACATAGCAATGCGAAAAGAGAAAAAAAAAGTAAGATGGAGAAAGTGTAAGAAAATAAAGACGTTGAAGTATTTAAATACTGGATAGATGACCAGAAGGCGGCATCAAAATATCAAACAAAGCTCATATCATCACCCCCTTCTATCTTTGCTGGAAACAAAACAAAACAAAACAAAAGCAGTCAAACAAGCTAAACTCCCAGAAATAATTATTTTGGTTTTTAAAGAGAGATATACTACGGGGGTTCAGAATGTTTATCCCACCAATTCGCTTCGCGCCCTTTCAAGTCTCCAAGCCAAATACCACGAGCGATACTAGTACGAGCAATAGTGGCACTACGAGTAGTGTTGCGTCGCCACAAGCTAGCGGGCAGAATACTTCGCATACGTCCTACTATACATCGTCGTCGTCTGCAGCAACGTCTTCAGGTGGTGCCGGGGCGGAGGGCCAGATGGGATCGGGTGGTGGGACAACAGGGGCGCAGGGGGGGAAGTAGTGGTGTGGGTTTTTGGGGTGGGGGATTTTGGGGTACGGTGGTAGGGTAGATTGGATGTTTTGGGGGTATTTTGGGAAGTGTCTGGAAAGTATAGGTGGTAGATACAGGATATGAGACTGGACTTTCTCTCGTCGATCCGGGTAGGGAAGACATGGGGCGAAAGGGGTTTTGTATATACCACCAAGCAAGGAATCTTATGAACAGGCTTATTTGTATTGTGGTTTTGTGTGCGGCTAGTTTCGCATTAAGGTGTCTGTTTTCTTCGGTGTTGCATGTGATTTATGTACGATCTATAGCTAGAGTGGACTGGGGAATGTGTCCAGGTTGGCTTTTTTCCTTTCATTCTTCCCGAGTAGTTGTAAATATCTAATTCAATTCCAACAAGGAAATTCTCTTTTTTTCTCTATTTATGAATCTTTTTTTTTGGTGAATAGCACTGCACTGCAGACATGAATATATGTCTTTACATTTTCGAGCGAGCTCAAGAAGCAACAAACAGTCTCGAGTCTTCGGATCCTGCGCTCCAAGCACTTTTGAAAACCCATCATGCGCTTCTTGGTACAGCGCAAGCGCATCAGAGTAGCGCTTCTGCATATGAATAGAAACCGCTAGATAGTAAAGGCTGGTCAGTGTATTTAGGTGTTCGTGCCCTAATATCTTCTCACGTCCTCGTAGCGTCTCTTGAAGAATTTCTTCCGCCTCTTCTAACTTTCCCCGTTTTGATAGCACTATTGCAAGACTATCTAAGCTATCAAGCGTCTCAGGGTGCTCACGCCCAAATATCTTCTCACGTCCTCGTAGCGTCTCTTGAAGCATCTCTTCAGCCTCTTCTAACTTTCCCCGTTTCAACAACATTACTGCAAGGTTATTCAAGCTATCAAGCGTCTCAGGGTGCTTATGCCCTAATATCTTCTCACATCCTTGCAGCGCTCGCCGATGCATTTCTTCTGCCTCTTTGAGCTTTCCCTGTTCCTCTAACACTGCTGCAAGGCTATTGGTACAACCAATCGCGGCTCGATGCTCGTTCCCACAAAAACTCTCTAGGCTCTTCAACAACGATCGGCATGTCTCCTCTATAATTTGACATTCTCCCATAGTCACACAGTATGCCGTAACTCCCCGAATGATGTTTTCTCGCATATTTAGCACGTCTTCGTCAGTCGTGGCATGGCTTGTGTTTTCTTTGAAGTGCGGCAGCAGCACTCGACACTCCTGCCATGTCCCGTAATCCCCACTTGGAAAAACCATATCCATAGCTTGTGTCGACTCCTTAACCCATTTATCAATCTCCTTCTCTTTCTCTAACCATCGTCTCATCGACAGCTGCACCAAGCGATGCATCGTCACTAACTGCTGCCCGACTTCAACCCTCACGAAAGAGAAGCCGATCAGTGGCGCCAGAGCATCGTTGAATTCCAGTTCGCTCGTCGTACCTTGCACTAATTTTCGTGGGATGCCTTGCTTGTGGAACATGCTCATGAGTGCAAGTAGGTCCGCTGCGGATCGTTTCGTTTTTCGGATGTGTTCAAATGAGATCTGCCATGTCGCTATCACTGCCTGCCGTATGCTTGGATCGCGCCGAATGTCCTTCAACTCGTCTTTGCTTAGCAAGTGCACCTGATTGGTTTCGCTTTCGCGAAAGAGATCTAGATAGTTGCCTATCGTGAATGTTTCTCCTAGTGTTTGGATATATGCCGCGGCGTGTGTGATGGCTAGCGGAATGTACTCCAATGCATGAACGAGCGCCTTGGCATCTGCTGGATCTGAATCTATAGGTGACACCTTGGTGTGAAGTAGTTCTACCGCCTCTTCCTCGCTCATCGGTTCTACCTCAATGATACCAGTGTGCTCGCCAACAAGACCTTTTGCTGCAATCTTGTTTCTCGACGTGATCAGGATTGATCCATGTGTCACTTGCGGAAGATAGCTCTCAAGCGAATCACTGTCCTGATTATCGCTGAAGAAGATGTTAGTTTCGTCAACGTTATCCAATATCATTAGCCATTGCCCATTTTGACTGTCCGCCAACCACTCATATACGAGCTGTAGTACATTCTTTTTGGGATCGTTCCATCCAGGCAGCTGAAGCCTTTCGGCAATTCTTTTGTATCCCTGTTGGAACCTTTCGGGGCTACTTGCGTGTATCCACATGACCACCATGTGAGGTGTTTCCTTGCTGGCTCGATATGCGTACTCGATCGCAATCTGTGACTTTCTAAAAATGGTTTAATGCACTTTCTACAAAGAGGATAGATACGAATACTGACCCCACGCCCCCAAGACCAAAGAGAGCTGTGCGCGTGTGTGAAGGTGCAGCTTTTCTGCGCTCTTTGATCTTGTTGATGATGTCTTCTCGTCCAATGAAGAAGTTATCTTTGGAAAAAGGCACCATGAACAAAGCTTTGTTTGCTAGTAATAGAAGTCACCAATAAGCGTTGTGTCGCACGGCAGTCTTGTAGGCTATGATCTTACGTACAGGTAGCATCTGTCAGTCCCGTAGCAGTACCTTCAGAAGCGGAAGGCGTCTGCTGGTTCTTCAGTTCTTGTTTCACGTATGCTTTCAAAACACCACAGACGGCGCGATATACTTGATCATCTCTACTGGCACACCGAGCCATTTGCATGTGGTTCGCATCGATGCTCTCGACAGTCTCAAATTCTCGCGGAAGGTCGAGCTTGGAAGAGAAGTTGTCCACCACCTAGGATTGTCAGCTTTTCCTAGTGGTTTCTGTGTCGTGCCTACCTTTCCTTCCAATCCACGCACGCCTGTAACGCCTCGTGCTTCCTGGAAGGAATGAACCTTGAATTTGCCTTTGGACGCGATCTGCTTGAAGTCTTCATGGATGTTATCCAAAACTTCGTTATTTACTTCAAGTGTCTCAAGAATCTTCTTGTTTGAGTCTTGCATGGCTACACGGGCAAGACTCGATGCAATCTGACCCCAGTCTGCACACCCGCTGCCCCGGTGCGGCGTCCCAAGAAAGACGATGAATCTTGTTCGCTCCCGCATAGTCTCCGATCGGCGGATGGCCTACAGCAACAAAGTTAGCAGCGTTGACGTAGTCTATCACATTTTAGATCGCTTACGTCTTTGAGTATGATTCCACCAAGACTGTGTACTACGAATAAAATTGGTTTCTGTGATGCATTTAGATACAATTCTGGAGGGATCTTGTGTTTTACCCAGCTCATACCTCATTGCAAATCTCTCGCTCCAGTCTAACTGACAAATCTTGACCATGCTGTGAGATACTATTCTGGTTATTGGCTTTGAAGATACCGCCAATGACGTCTGCGTTGTACCCGTACGTCCATATGCAGGCACGGGGGATGTCCGGGACGAGATACTCTTCTGGCCAAAATATGCTAGACGGCGATGACGAAGTAGGGGTTGAGGGAGGGTCCTGGGCTTGTGATATCTCTGGTGCAGGAGATCTAGCCTGTTCTCGTCGGAAAAAGGACCGTATCTGGAGACTCTTGGACTTCTTGGTAGCATCGCTGCCGATACTACTTGGTTTTATATTTCCCTCCCACGTTCGTCGAGGATGGCCTCGCAAGCCGTGGATGAATATGATGCTAGACGATGTCAGTAATTTTGTCAAATGTATGGATGCGATCGTACTTCACGCAAAACTCGTCATCATTCTGCGTGCTTGGTGTCAGCCTCGTGAAGTCGAGTCGGTGCACGGTAGCGCGGGATGGTGCCATAGGAGTTGGGCTGGTCGACTAGCATAGTGCGCTCGTTTAGTGAGCGGTATCAAGTCTTTTCCAGATGGCAAATCTATCTGGTCAAGTCATGTAAAAAAGTCAAAGAGCAGAAGCTTGAAAGCTGCAACCTGAATGACAGCAGAGCCAAGGCTGCAGCCGACACGAGGGGCAAGGCTGCATCATGTAGTTTCGACCTCAGCCACGGCGGCTAAATTGCGAGCGACTCGATGGAAGAAGCAGACGGGATGGAAGAAAGGAATAGAGACTGTACAAAAATGTTAATGATAGTACCCAGAATAACATAAACAACAAACTGGTGTTTACTCCCACTAGTTCGACTCTCTCCACCTTCTTTCCCTCCATCCTTCCTTCCTTCCTTCTCAAGCCAACACCCACCCCCAACACTCCACAATCCTCAGCCTCACCTAACCCCATCGACCCCCAAAAACAGCAACACAGAATCACCTACCAAAGCGCAAGCAACATAACAATCACAACCATCACCACCACCCCAAAAACCACATCCAAACATCCATAAAGGAATTAAATTTCAACTCTTAGGATATATATCCAACAACACCTCCACCTTTCTTACTTTCACCTCGCCAGACTAACCCCCCCCCCCTCCAAAAAAACCTCCCCACCTTACTTCACTCGCCATCTTCCCACCACACAAAATACCCTCATATTCGCTTTTTCTGCAGTTATACTCATCCTGCTCTTTGACCTTTTCACCCATTGCTTGCTTTCACCCCCCTTTGAAAAAAAGAACATCAGACACACACACACATACGCAAAAGGTGAAGAAGGAGAAGGCGAAGCAAGAACAAAGGAACTGCTTCAGAGAAGAAGAAGAAGAAGAAGAAGAAGAAGAAGAAGAAAACAGACAACAAAACATGTATATAAACACCAATATAATCATCTACCTCTTCTCATCCCTTCCCAACCCAGCCTCAAGCGCAAGAGGCGTCTTCTGACTCTCCCCCGCCTGCCCTGCACTCTCCTCTCCATTCGCAGGTCTCCGTCCAATACGTTGAAGCCAGCACTCTGCACTCTGCACGGTACCATCCACAACCGTCGTAATCTGACCCATCATATCGAGCCCTTCTTTGGCAAAGGCTAGCATACGGTTTGCGCCGCGGACTTCGTCACCACCACTGCTGTTGCTGCTACCGCTAGTATTGCGGCTGGCGAGTTGCCAGCGCTGGGGCACGGAGAGGAGCTGGGTGCGGACGACGGTTTGGGCGTTTTGCGGGAGGGCGCCGCCGGTGTAGCGGGACACGGATTGCACGACTGATTGGAGGGTTTGCCAGATATCGGAGGAGAGTTCTTTGATGCGGTCGGCGAAGCGGCGGACTTGGTCGTCCTTGTCGGAATCTACGAGGCCCATTTGTGCCATGTTGCCGTTGAGTTGGGCCTTTTCGTCTTGGGCAATGTTGTGGTTGGTGCTGTTGGACGAAGACTCCCTTTGGTTGCGCAGCGCGGCTTCGTATTCTTCCAGGACCAGCTTGAGTGCACGCATGACGGAGTCAATGTGTGTTGTTGCGCTGCGGAGGAGACCTAGGCAGATTTTCAAGGAGCGCAGTGATGTCTCGGACAGAGCAACACCAAGACCAGAGGTGGTCATGATGAGCTGTGTAGACCAGTTTACGCGACGGTCTTGTGGGGTCTCGGATCGCTGTTCTAGTGCTTTTTGCCCAGCCGTGTCTCCTACAATCGCCTCTTCGTAGTTTGGAGATCTCTGATCATCGTAGGCTGGAAGAGATTCAGAGTAAGAAGATTGAGATCCCCCTCTTGTTCGCGATGCTGCCGCAAGTGCATCATCTACATCCATGGCATCATCTGCAGGACTTGCAATCCTCTGTCTCTTACTTCTAGAACTGTCGCTGTCGCCCTGTTCAAGATCACTAGGCCGGCGATGTCCTTCGCCCAGGTAACGGCGCAGGCTCTTTTCCATGCCGGTTCTTCTACCTACAGACGAAACAGTATTTACTACGGGTGATCCAATATTGCGTTCGAGCAGTTCGGCACCATATTGGACTAGACGCGGCGTGTACCCTTTTGTCGTGTTGTAAGCGGATATGGAGCCATTGATGGAGCTTCCCAACCATGGGTGATTCGAGGTGATTAGCGACAGAAGTGGTTCCGGTGGTTCAGCAGTGGGTGGGCGGGCAGACAATGTGAGAGATCGTGCTGTGGGAGAACGGACAAAGTCTATAGGCTGTAGTTAGTATATGCTTACTCTTTACCATGAGGGCACCACCCCCCACATACCTGGGTTGCCCAGTCCGCTTAGCGCCTCGGCTGCCAATCGTACATCTGGGTCATCCATACTGACGCTCGTTTCCCGTATACTAGACGTGTCCATGGGGCTTCCTACATCTTCGCGCGGCAGGCTTTCTGGCACGCTCGGGAAGGTTGTGCCATTTGGAGCAGGCAAGACGCCCCAATGCGATGCCTCGAAGTTTGTGCGCGGACTGTATTCTATGGACGTGTGTGGCGTATGACGTGGTTTGGTCTCGGGCAGATGCAGCGACTTGATGCCTGGGAGTCTTGCATTGTCGGGGTGATGGTTGTGAGTGGGTATATGGGTTGGTACTGAGGGCAGATGCAGCGACTCAGGCTCGTGCTGGGTGTATGCAGGCGGCGGGGCACGCTGGAGTGGGCGTTCTTGCTCCATTGTGAATTGGCAGGACGTGGTCAAAGAAGGGTGCGGGTTGTGATGCGGGCGACTAGCGGTACCCCACGTACGCTCAGTGCGCGAAGCACGACGGGAGGGTGTTTTGGCAATGCGATCAGATAGTGTACTGTGCTCGACTGGCGAGAGTTGCGCTACGTCGCGCTGCCCTGTTCCCGCGTGCGATCGCAATGCTTAGCAAAGGGTCGGAGAAGCGGGCTCGAATGGGAATGGGGGCTCAGCGGGAGCGGAATCGGATGCCGGGGTGCGGGAGCGCAAAATGAGAGGGGACGTAGCAATGATGTCGTTCAGGGGAGTGAGTGGGCGGCTGGTCACGCACGAGGCAGAGGCAGCATGACGGTCAGAGGAGAAGGGTGGCAGGATGGATTGGCCGGGCTACGGCATTGCTGAGCGGATGTAGGGCCAAGGTGCGAGGGGAGCAAAACGACGGCGATGGCAATGGGAGGCCAGACGAGAGCGCCCGGCGGCAGCAAATTGGGGGTCACCACAAAAGCCATGATTCTCACATGTCAGTCCTATCACATGTCACCGGCGATCCACCCACAGTCCACGCCACCCACTCGTGCTTGGCAACGCAAATGAGACGACAAGGCCCGTTGTCCCGTCAGACCAGACACGAGGGGCTACTACTACGCCGTGCTGTCTGTTTTTTTCTTTCTTACATACATGGATACGATACCGGTAGCCTGCACAGTCCATGATGAGCCACCCCCGACTTCTCTCTGCCTTGCTCGGAGTGTGCATCAAGCCGGGGACTACAAGTACACGCTGGCCGCCGGGCACATGGCGTAATGGCGGCGGATCCCTTGTCAGCCTCGTCTTACCACCATGCTTCACCCCTCAGTTTTGCACGTGTAAATCTGGTCAAGCTTCCCCACATCTGCCCATGAAAAGCTCCGATAGCCGCAAGTGGCAACATCCCAGAAGCAGTAATTTCCATACCAATAACAAAGCAATGAGCGTTTCAACTCTACTACTGCACATAGAGCCCTCACACAATGCCTAAACCGACCCCTTTATCCCCCGCGGACACCAAAAAAGCAGCCTACTCCATTTCCATCACGTGAACGCAAACATCAATACGCCCACACGCCCCACATGCATACACACACACATCTCCACATTCACAACAACTACAATGGCAAGACCAAGTTCGACCATTATTATGCATTATCTGTCATTCGAGTATCTTGTACAACGCGTGCGTGGACTGCCCATGTCAAAGCCCAATCCCAACACCACCGTTGTCCTAATGCAATCCGACCGACCAACCATGCTCTTACATGCTTTTATCGTAACACGGGGCAAGCCAAAACCGTCCCACCCCACACATAACAATTACAACAAGTATCAAAATTGCCGACCTAAATTGGCCATGGCGCATCAAGAACGAAGTCATAGGAGCCAGGCCTAACTGGTGGCTCCTCTAGCCAAGCATGGCGCGCTACAGCTGCGCCTCTATAGCCTGCGCAGCCACAACGTCACCCTTTACGCCTTGCGGCTGCGCGTCGCCCGGCCGTTGGGAGTGCCGTTGGGCGAAGATCCAGTAGCAGCGGCGCCACGGGTGATCGAAAGGCGCCTGCGAGCCTCGCCAACGGTGGGGACCTTCTCGTCCTTCATTTCCACGAGAGCGCTGGTAGCCCTGCGGCGGCCCTTGGGAACCGGCTTCTTGTATGTGGCAAAGTAGAATGCCAGGAAGAGGAACAGGTACGAAGTGATAATGCAGATGCCAGAGATGGCGGCAAACTCCTCACCAGCGCACTTGCCCATGTTGGGGATGTGGGGCCAGTAGGTGCTGGTGAAGTAGGTCCATGACGCAAAGTAGATGAAGCCTAGGCGGGGGGTTAGCTGTTGTAATGCACCGTCAATTTACGAAGGAACCTACCAAGATCAAGGACGAATTGGGTGATTTGGCCGACGGTAATGTACTTCTTCCACCAGATGCGGATGCCTCGGGCGCTCTGGAAGTAGTACCAGTACATGACAACGTGAACCGCCAAGTTCAGGGTGATGACGGGCCATGAGACGGGGGTGTGGCCAATGAGCTGGGTGTAGCAGAGGAGGGCCGTCGCGCCATGGTGGTAGGTGTGGAGGAAAGCTGGAATCCGTTAGCTTTACGATATCTTGACCGCCATTCGGATGCACGTACTCAAAGGCTTCTTCTTCAAGAACAGGAAGCAGGTGTCAATCAGCTCGAGGAACTTGGTGAGGTAGTTGAGCTGTACACATGTGTTAGCCTGGTCTGCAGCGGGCGCCTGTTATGAATACGTACGTAGTAGAGGATAACCAGCTTGTCAGTCCAGCCGCCCTCGTGGTCGCAGATGGCGAAGAAAAGACCCTTCCTGACAACCGTGGGGATGATCTGCTCGGCAAAAAGCAGCAACAGTGTACCGCTAATGGCGGTGAGGTAAAAGTTGTGTAGCTTGAAGAGAAAGCTGAGCTTGAAGGGCTCGCGATTGCGCATAAGCTCCCGGCCGCCGAAAATTACAATGTAGTATACAACAAGTGTGACAACACACGTCTTGAAGGTCGAGAGCGGTGTGACGCCCTGCTCGAAGCGGAAGTCCTGGGGCTTGTAGCCCGCAATGGGCTCAAAGACCTTTTCGAAAATGGGCCATAGAGCCAGGCCAAAAGGACGGTCGAGCGTCGGCACGCCGTATTCAAGCCATTCGGGGTTTCCCATCGTGTTTGTGTATGCGTGCGTGCGTGCGAACTGGCGGGAACAGTGGAAGATTACGGAGTCTGGCGGGAGAGGATGTCAAGTGTTTTGATTCGAATGGCTGCGCCTATCAGGTTTGAGAGGAACAAAATGCGTAATCAAACAATGAGCGGAGGGAAAGAAAAGACGGCAACCACGACCAAGCACACGCAAGGCGCAAAGGAACGACGAAGAAGATGTGTAGAAGTGAATCTCACACCGCGAGGAAGAGGAAGAGTTGATGAGGGTTTTGAAGAAGGGTCAGCGCCAGTTTTCTTGACTACAGCGCCGGAAAGGAGGTCGGAAATGACTGCTAGGGTCTTCCGCCATTGGCGCAGATCTGGCCTATCGAGCGGCTGCTCGTCCGCATTGCGACACTTTGCAGACCGAGGCCAGCCCCTAGCACGCCTGCTGGTGATATCTGCCAAGTCTTACGGGCAGCTCAGATGCATCATGGCAGCCCGCCTACGTCTGCTTGCATGCGGTACCATGCCCACGCCCATGTCGGTACCGTCCATGAATGTTTCAAGACACAGGCAGACCCCAATCCAATCGCCTCCAGTCCCATCCATGCCCCTCCACGTGCTCAGCATGCCATTGCACCCCCAATGCTCAATTCGGTTCCGCTGCCAAACTTTTGCTCACTGTGGAGAGGCCTCGACGTGGCACTCACCAAATGGGAACAAGCGCTCCGGAAATCTTGGCGGCCCGGTCGCCGATACACCGCCCCCCCTTATTGTCGCTGGCACTCACTGTCACTTGTAGCTCGTCTGTCAACCTCGACTACCCCGGAACTTCGCTGTCAAGGTACCCATGTAAGCACAATCCCGCATTGCTTCGTACGAACAAGCAGCATCCCAAAACCCTCCCTTCTCCCCCTTATTTCTTTTGGCCATCATAGCACACAACCTACCCCTTGTTTTCAATTCTGCACCTCTTCACACTACTCGCCACCGCCTGTTTTCATATTCCTTTTTTTGTTTTCGAAAATAGTCTTAATATTGCGTATACATAGGTGCGCAAAAGTGAAACCCCTAGTAGGCGTCACTCGCACATCTATAAGCCCTCCACAAAAATAGATCCAAAACACCGTTGTTAGAAGAAGAAAGAAACCCGTCCTTCTTTTGAGGGAGCCAGCCAGGGACCTACGCGACCGCTGAATGCCAACATGAACTACAAGCCATACTCCAAAGAGCTACACATAGACCACAAACTATATGGAATGAGACAACATGCACAAGCCATAGGCCTCAAGAGCTCGTGACCCGAGCAATGCTGCTCCCAGAATTTGCTCTCGCTCGTCCAGAAGGCCCTCGCGACGAGACAGCGTGACCAGACGACGAGTTTGGCCGACTGTTGCTACGAGGTCGACCAGCCGAACGACGAGCACTGGATGATACATGGTGCTCCCCTGATGATGAATGGTGCCGTCGCTACAAGGACACAAAGCACAAACACGTCAGATCCACTCGAACCAAAAGCCAATGCCTGGACAAGAAGAAGACAGAGAGAGTGAGAGAGTATAGAAAAAAAAGACCTAGAAGTCTAGGAATATAATTAAGAGTACACCGATTCGGCCACACAGAATGCTCATCTCGAGTTCTAGGGACTTAAGAATCAACGTACCGAGGTTTGGCTGCCTTGACGCTCATAATCTTTCGGCCGCCTGTCTCTCGATGTCGTCCCATCGTCCTGAAGACGCAGGTTTTCCAGTCGTCCTTGAGCTGAATCGTCCACACGTCCTGATGACTTCTCCGCCGTGCCATTTGCGCGTGATTCTGCAAGCTTGGCCAATCTGTCCCAGCGATCTTGTCGACTTTGCTGCCTTTGTGTCGCGTTGTTTTGCGATTCGGCATAGTCGTGCGAACAGTCGTCAAAGAGCTGAGGGTTGACTTCCATGAATAGCTTCATAGCATTGTATACCATACCATGAATCGTTCTACACATAATTGTTAGCCTCCAAGACTTTGCTTACGACATGGTGCTGCATCATACCGGTTCCAGTGTCCCTTTGAGTTTTCGTACAATGGTGCAAACATGATTGGCAGAATGACTTCGACGTTGTCGCTGACAAGATTGCAGAAGTATTCGTTATTCCAGAAGTAGAGTGCTCGCTCTGCAACCTGGAAGTGGGGGCTGGCGACCGACTTGGCTAATTGGTTGAACAAAGGCTCTTGCACCTTTGCAAACTCGGCAGGGTCCATGACTTCAAAAATGTCTTCAACTTCGTTCAGGAACATGACCTCCTTGGTGCTGTTCACCTTGGGCCAATATCGGAGAAGACCCAAAACAACCTGCACATGTTAGCCTAGCTTGCTGGACTGGGCATCTAACCTTACCTCTTCTGTCAAAGCTGCATCCTTTTCTAGGAACTGAACAATGCAGTACGCCAGCTGTGGATGATACATGCTCAGACTCTTTACCTTGTGCAGCGGAATGAGCACCCTTGTCAGGAAAAGCTTGTGCTCTTCCTTCAAGGGCAGAGCAAAACCGTTAATGATGGAGCCGAGGATTTCGAGAAGCTCGGCAATTCCGTTAAATCGTTCCGTCTCATAGATGAATTGGAAGAAGACATTGTTGATGGACCGACGAATGTAGGAGCGGAGGTTTAGGAATTTGCCGTATATGCGATGAAGCGTCGTCTTCAAAAAGTCGCGTTCTCTGGGGTCTTCGGAATCGAAAAGCTCAAGTAGCTGGGAAGATTAGCTGCAGGACTGGTAATTGTTAAAAAATCAGGTACATACGTTGAGCACAAAACTGTGGTCTATGTATGCTTTGGCAATGTTTGTGTTGAAGTCCTGGCTCTCAATGAAGCGCAGGAAGAATTCGTAGACGACTTGAATGTGTGGCCATGCAACCTCCAACACAGGCTCGTCTTCTTCGGGGTCAAAAGCCTCGCCCTGTGGGTTCATGGGAGGTGGAATGGGTCGGAACAAGTTCTTAGCAAACATTTCCACGACGCGAGGATACATCTTCTCTGTAATGACCTGACGATTGTTGGCAACGTAGTCAAGCAACTCGTGCAGGGCCAGGCGCTTGATCTCCTTGGACTTCATGTCACCGCTGGCATCGTTAAAGTCGAAGATGATGTTGCATTGGTCGATCTTCTGCATGAACAGTTCCTCCCGCTTGTTTGGAGGCACCTCGTGGAATCCGGGTAGCTTCTCCAGTTCACGCTGACGCTGATCGGAAATGTCAAAACGCGATGAATGCTGCCTCTTTGGAGTCCTTATACCCTCAATATTGTCCTTGGGGGTCGCTTGAAGACGGTCGAATATGCCCGACTTCTGGCCCGCCTTTGGAGGCGCAAGGTCGCCAGGCATGGTCTCGGCAGCGCCAGGAGGGGGAACGTGCTGCAAGAATACTTAGTCTACGCAGGCCTTCTACATAAGTATGATGGGCAAGAGTACTTACAGGAGCGCTCGGGCTGATGACGACGCTCGGCGCCAGGGGCTGTCCAAGTCTAGAAGGCGTGCCTGGACCTGCAGCACCAGCATTGCCAGCATTGCCAGGACCCATCAGGCCCTGTCCAGCAAATGACTGCTGCCCACCTGCTAGAGAGCCCGACGAAGGCTGCTGGTTCTGTTGTAGCGACCCGTGGTGGGCTGCGGCGCCATCAGTAGCGGGCTGGTTCTTGCTTCGCGCGTCGGTGAGCTGCGTCTGTGATGAGGAAGGAGTGGCCTGGGCGGAGCCCGAGGGAGAATTCGAGGCACCGAGCGACGGCGAAGCAGTGCCCGAGTTTGAGTCCTTCTTCTTGGACGACTTTCCATCCTTGCTTCGAGAAAGCTGTTCAGACTAGACATGTTAGCCTCCGCGCATAGAGAGGGGCAGGGCACCGGGCGGTGGCCGCAGCGCAAGGGTTCAGGGAGGAAACGGAGACTTACGACCCTTTGCCGGAAACCCTTCATGATTGTGCAGGAGCGCTCAGGGCCAGGTCAAGCGCTGCGGAGGTGTCTGCGGAGACGGGCGTCCGAAATTGAGGCGAGCCTCTGGGCGTGTATCGAGGGGGGTCGCAATCCAAGAGCGCCAATGGGGTGCCAGAAGAGGAGCGCAGGCAGGGGAAATGACGACTGGGCAGGCGTGCAAGTCAGGTCGACATGGAGGACGAGGGGACGCGTGAGATGGTGGATGGAGGCTAGTGTGTAGCCGTCTTGGGATGCAGCACGGGGAGTCGGTGGAGGGCAGAGCTCGCGAGAGGGGGGAGGGAACAGAAGGCAGCTGAGGGGAGCCCCAACAACGGTGTGGTGACGTAGAGGCGAACCGGCAGAGAGAGCGAGGCGTGTAACTGAAGAGCTGGAGATGAGAGAATGAGCAGGTCGTCAACTGACAACTCAGGGCTGCTGCCAGACAGACGGCGTCGAGTGATTCGCGCTAGCCGTCCCGTAGCGAGGCCGTGCGTTTGGGATGTCGAGAGCCCCGCCGCGGCCGTCACGACATCATACACCCGATAGCACATGTACATACACACGGCCATGCGGCGACGGGCGCTTTGAGAGATGCGAGCCAGGGGCAGCGAAGGAGACAACGCACATAGACGACAAATAGGCTTTGGCGGCGTTGCATGGCTGCACGTCACCTGACCACCCGCGCCCATAACGAGCCATAAGGCAGATCCCCGGCACCATATATAGTAAGTAGTACTTTAGAGGGACGCTGCAAACGGGGCCTCGCATGCTCAGGGTCTGTGTGTGCGCCCTATTTGATAGTCCTTCTGCCGTGCTCGGGCAGACTCTGCAAAACACCACCACACGAGACTGCGTGTAGTTATACTCTGTGCCCTGTGAACAAAAAAATCTGTTGCAGTGCGCCATGAGTGACGAACAATCCACGCCCACTGCAAACGGCGAAAGCCAGCATGCATCGTGGCTGCCTATTCCATCGCGTGCCATCTCGGTTGTCGAGCATCCAGCCATCATCAAGAACGTGGAAAAGGGCATTGCCTCGTTGGGCGGGCCTGTCAAGCTGAGCAAGGTCAGCAAAAGTCTTTGTACTACAACTCCATGCCACACCCGCATGCTAACACGTAACCCAAGGGCCTGCGATCGAAACTGGAAACCACCGTTAACGCGGAGGGCGATGATGAACTGAAGAAGCTCATCTCTGTCTCTCTTCGTCCCGACGACCCCTTCGCCAAGCGTTTGCTATCCACCCCAGTGCGCACCAACAACCTACTCCTCAAAGTCACAGTCCCCAAGCGAACGGGTCGCAAACGAAAGCGCGACACTGCGGGGCCCTTTCTTGCTGAAGACGACATAGCCCGTGACAACAATCAGACATACGTCGATGCGCCAACAATCTACCGAAGCATCCAAGACAATGCATCCACATACAAGGTTGCTCTTGTTGGTGTAGTTGACGAGACTCACCGGTTCAGGAGTAAGTGCTGACTTCCTGACCACATTGAGTATCTGGTGCTGACTACTTAGATATGCCTGACTTGCAGTATGCCGCTTCTCACAACGACACAATGCTCGGCTTGCGTGATCACATTCTTTCCAGACGATGTAAGATTGAGTCCAAGTAGTCCCAAGACATGACTGATAATTTTTCAGATGACAAAGTAAAGAACTACAACATCAACACAGCAGCTGGTGCAGATCTCACCAAGACTGTCGGCCCATCTGCAGAGTTTCTGCAAATGCCAATCGCTTTCAACTACCGGTATGGTTACAATTCTGCGAATCCAACATTTACTAACCCCTAGCTAGATTCCAGCAAAACTCCAATGTCAAATACACCGACCAAGGTGTTGTCAATGTGCAGAGAAGTCTGTCTTATAACGCATACACCATTGTCAAACCCACCGACGAGCATGTGCCAAATGGACCGAGACCCAACCTACCCGCAGAGAGGGATCTCTCGCCTTATATGCAGTCGTTGATCGCCAACATTAGAGCCTTGCTCCTTGAACGACCTATTGTCACTCGCCAACTTCTGTACAACAGACTCGGGTGGAGCAAGCGAACCAAGCTCCGGCAAGCAGCTATATACTGTGGGTATTTCTTCGAGAGTGGACCTTGGCGAGAAGCACTTGTGCGTTGGGGGGTAGACCCTCGTAAGGATCCTAAATACCGCAAGTACCAAACGGTGTCTTTTCTCTCATATCTCAAATCGGGTATATCAAAACACCGCGCAGTTTTCGACCAACACGTCATGAAGCTAGCCAAGATGTCTCCGGAAGAGCTGGAGTCTGAGCATACTTTTGACGGTGTTCATGTCTCACAAACTGGAAATCTATTCCAATTCTGCGACATCACCGACCCTCTGATTTCGAAAATTCTTTCTACAAAGGATATCAGGACGACGTGTGCGCCGACCTTTCAAGGATGGTATCATGTGGGGACATGGGCTAAGGCGACGGTGATACTAAAGGATAAGATGAACACAATCATTGGTGGCGAGAAACCAGATGACTCAATA